ATTGATCATCTCGACATCGAGATGTATGACCATGAAAATAAAAAGATTTTAATTCTTAGAAATAGTGCATTTTACAACATATTATCTACACCGTCCATTTTCAAGATTTTCATATGTCTATAGATCTACTTGATTTTAACCATTTTTTAAATTTAAAATTTTATAATTAGATATAAAAATAGATTTTGAGATAATCCTAAGACATTTTACATCAAAATTATATACCATGATAAAATTTGAAGATGCACCTTACCTCTACAGCTACGGATGCATCCGTATGCCAACTGCACCCTTATTAAAATAGAAAATTATCCTATCCACATGATGTCGACGGGTGGAAGGGTGCACAAGCACCCATTCAATGGTTGAGATTTAACAAAGCCGTATCAAACGGCCAATAATTGATTTCATATTTTATGTTTATTTTTTATTTAAAATGAAATATTTATCTGCATTTTAGAGTGGAGTTTTATTTTTATAAATAGAACAAAATAAAAATGATTAAAAAATATGTTAAATAAAAAATGACCAAAATATCCCTGAATTTATTTTGATCAATATTTTTTATTCAAAATATTTACTATTATATTATTATTATTATTATTATTATTATTATTATTTAATTCTACTTATAAAAATGAGGCTAAAATCCAAATTCCAGATCAATATCATTTAAAAAAAAAAATAGAAAACTAAATTTATTTTTAGCTCTTGGATGAGGAGGGTTCAATCTGTTCGTGCACCTTTTGAGCATCCACAGCATGTGGACTCAATACCAACCCTACTAAAATTTAGGTGATCCTCTATTGTCTTCATTTTTCTGTTTTTACTGTCACTCTTATTTGTCATAACCTGTATCTCTTAATCTCTTTGCTTTTGATTATATCAAACCATAATGGGTCTTGAATTTATTGCTTGCCTTTTAATGCTACTAATAAAGGGTTGGTAGTTCTTTGAATTTGCTTCTTGCACTCGGAAGATTTGATAATATAATGTACTCTAGCTTGGGTAGCTCATGAATTTTAAAAAAAGAGCTACATTATGTTCATTTTAAACTGATACATAGAAGTGAATATTGATTGGGACGAGGAGTTAGGCCCCAATCATATGGAGCTGCTTGTCAGGATATGCCGAGTTTTGATAACAAACTTTTTTTAAATGATATATTATATTAAAAAAGATATGCCATCGGGATGATAATATAGTGGCCCAGGTACCATCTATGTAATAACAACAACATGTGTCACATGCGTTTAGAAGAATCCGACATGGCAATGAACTAGGCAGGCATGTTGATGTGCAAGACACAATACAGACATGAGAAATCTGTGTCAACATGCATGTATGAAATTTTTTGCTTTTTGAATTTATAGACATTGTGTGTCTGCTATGTGGAAACGTGTGTCTACCGATTGGACAAACAACACCTGCCTACCTGTTTTTTAGGGCACGCATTGCTGCATTGTAAGACACGCATGTCTATTTTTCAAGTCACTCATGCCTACACGTCTTATTATTTGAACAAGTGCGTCTTTAATTTTGATCCACATATTTTGTTTTCAAGGTTAATTTTAATTAAAAATTAAAATACACACACACACACACACACACACACACACACGCATGCACACACACACACACACACACACACACACACATAGGAAGATACTACAAATGCCTATAGGCAAAAATGAATAGTGATTTCGCCTACCCTCATCACCATCCAAATTTCATCGCACGATCACAGTTGTCTGGTCGTGTTTCAATTTTCATTTGTTTTTACTAGTCGGAATGGTC